CGGAGTCCAGCTGAACGGGAACCTCGGTCAAGATCGTGAGTAGAAGAAGGACGCCATGCCTCGATGAACTTGTTTTGATGGAGTCTTCAGCCAGTGTCAACTTCATCATCAATACCTGTCAAAAGTGAGTTGCCCCTTGAACCCTCCGCGCCTACAACGGCTTACGCCATGGATAGCATTGGATCCGGCATCATCCAAGACCCGGGTCCGCCACCAGCCGGATATGCCTGCCCCATGTCATCCGTCAGCAAGCCCAGTAATCCGTGCCCGAAACCATTCATGATGACTGATGCAAGAGGTCCTGTCTCGACCAATACCGACTCTCTGGCGGCACCTACTCCGGACTCGATAACAATTACATTGTCTACATCACTCGTCACTGGCCATCTCGCACAGACCACAACATCGACAATGCAGACTACTGGCAAAGTGTCGAATTACAGTCAATATGAAGAAGATCGACACGCCGTTTTGCCGACGGGTGCCAAAGCGGCCATAGGAGCTGCCTCCGGCATAGCTTTCCTTGTGATCTTGGCCTTTGCAATATGCCTCTTGCGCCGCCGGACACGCGGTCGAGCTACGAGGATCGAGATCACGCACCGGGACGTACAGGAAGCCAGCCTACCTACTCCCTTGCTGTCGCCTTCGGGCTCGGCACATGGAGCCATCCATACTCCTCCGCTAACACCGCCGCCACGTCTCCAAGAGCGTAGACTACTTCCAGTCTCTCCCAGCCCGGGGAGACCAAGCATCATCATCACCACTCCAAAATCACCGCTTGGCGCCGCCGTAGCGCAGGGAGGCCCTTTGTCGAAACCCCCCGTCTCCTCCCTGACGTCCAGCAGACCCTCGCCTGGGTTCGACCGCTCAACCAAGCCCTACTACCGGATTCCTCCGCCGGGCGTCCTCGCAGGCGGCTCACCGGCTGGGAAGACGGCAAGCATGAGCAGCGCTACGAGCGGACGCACAGCTACCACAGTATCCAGCATCTCGAGCTCGTTTCCGGCACTTGCTCCGTCGTCGCCGACGCGGCCTGTCCGTCCCTGCGACAAGCTGCTGCACGTACCAGATCTTGTGTGTCCCGGCCCGCCACCGAACCGATCGCTACCTTCTCCGCCGTCTCGGAGCCCCTCAAGACCTGTGGCTCTGCCCCGGAACCAGCAGCAGCACGCGGAGAGTCGTAGCAGTGGCGAGCGCGTGCCGCCGCGGCAAGCTGCTCCAGGGGCGACTCCGAGGGAAGAATCAAAACATGTACACATTCCGACAGAGACTAGTACCCGAGAGTCATTGGAGAAGGGCAGTTGGAGCAGCTGGGGAGTCGGGGGTGGCGGAGCGGGAATCGAGGTGAGTTCGGCACAAAACGAGGATGGAAGAATGGACAGTCCTGTACTGGAAGATGCGGGTCTAGAGAGGATAGGCGACAGATGCTGATGTAGAATCTGTGAATTTGAGGGCTATTTGGAACCGTTTTCTTTTCTGTCGCTTGAAGTCGCTTGGGGAGCAGGTGGACGGACTGATTACACGTATGATATCTCACTCGAGTTTGCTGGCGGCTGGTCCACGAACACTTTTATTGTTGGCAATTTCAGACAAATGCCATAACCTGAATTTCAGTCCTCTATATCCTGTAGATTTTGCATTCGCAGGAGATACAGGAGCAAAACCAAATGATGCGTAACTGAGAGCTGAGAGGAACTAACACAAGGTTTGTAGGCTCTGGGCTGGCCTCTTTGTAGGAAGACGCCAACCATCTAATAGCAGAACTCTTAATATTTGAATCCTAAGCTGTTTCTCAGGAGTATCATATGCTTCAGGGTGCATGAGCTGCGGTGTTTGTAGGATTGGCCCTCGAACAAGTGTGAGGTTCGCGCATTTCTCCACGATGCCCTCATAGGCGACTTAGAGCTGCCAAACAGGCACATACGACCATACCCACTGGAAAACTCGGGATCCCGTCCGCTCTCCCATAGATAAGCCAGTGAGGGCCGGATTAGTAGTTGGGTCGGTGACGACCAGCGAATACCTGGTGTTGTATGTCTTTTTTGGTATATTTTGTTTTATTTTATGTGGTGGGTGACGATGCCGCATTCCTCCTTTTGCGCCCCTTCTATCCTGCACCGAGGGATGCTGATGACTTATGAATCAAAAAAACGACGTGCTCCTCAAGTTGAGCAAACTTGCATGCGTTATATGCCATGGCTGTGCAGTTCCGACTGGAGCTGATGAAAACATCAAACGTAGCGATTCCTTTTATACGAAGCCTGTACTATGTGTAGCAAGTGAGCAACTTTTTCACTGACCGTCAACTCTAGTCGTTGGAGACTCACGCCGAGGTGTCCTTGAGTAACTCTTGACATGATCTGATAAAGATGCGAAGAGAAACCGCCAAGCACTGTCAAGCGGTTGAAGATATCACATTCCTGACACCAGGGCATCAAGCCCGGGAGGTCGCTATCGAACCCATTCACTCCATGGAAACCAATCCCAAGAGCTTCCAGTCCACGGCCCTCGCTCTAAGTGATTCATTCCGGAAATGGGCTGCTTCATTACATTACGATCCAAACGTATCCCTACTGACTTGTCATCATCAACGCTCACTTGCCGGCTCTTTTACACAGCCCCTTACTGGAATCAACTCTCAGCGCCGTTGCCATCCATCGCCACTCTAGATCTCATAACGGAAACGGCAAGGGTGATTCACGTGATGTCTGCAGGCTGCGGGCTGCGGGCACTTGCGATCGGACAACTCGGAATAAGGTCTGCTCGAGATTGTGGCTTGCCTCACAAACACGCAACCATCGGCCGTCGGCGGTGATCCGAGTTTGATGACACCATCAACGTACATTGAGCGAGCATGCATTCAGCTCCCTTCGTATTGCTTATCTCAACCAACACCACCAACGAGCCGGTTCAGTTTCAGCCGAGCATGGCGGAATGCATGCCGAGCGGTCCAGACCATGTGCTGCCGCAGAAGCCCATAAACGATAAAAGACAGCCTGCGACGATGTAGCTGTACATTTTCGCTGCCCTCTCGGCAAATGATAAACGACCGACATTGAGTTCTCGTATCCAGGAACGAAAAGCGAGAAAAAAGTGACAGGTCATAAGTTGTGGAGCGACACCATTGAGACAAACGTGATCAACGTCCAGCGGCATTTCAAATCTGGCTCCGCGGACGTCGGGAAAAAAGAAAGCATAGACAAGCAAATGGTCCCCTCCCACGACGGTTCGCCTCCCAACGTCGTCGCGGCACGGTGCTGACAACCGAAGATGCATGAATATTTGCTTTTTCCCCCGAGGCTAGCTAGACAAGCGAGCGCCAGCCCACTTGACCTGTCAGATTTTCGGCATCCCCTCGAGGAGCTCCGGCCGTTTGGAACCGGTTTTCATTAGTGCGAGGGAGGGCCACCCTATCCCGGACATGTACGGCTCCTTCTCCCCGCGGTGATCCGGCGTGCCGCTGGTGACATCGCCTGGATGAGCGTAAGCCGGCGACCTGTCCGTCGCCCCGATCATACAACCCGAGGCCGCCACTGCCGCCCACCCGCCCCTGTACCCACAAACCGACAGCTCCTCTTCTGATGGCTTTATTGCCTTGGTATGCGGGAGCGAGGGTCGGGGGAGGGGGAAGGGTTCCTGATGGGCAAACCCGCTGCACAGGATTCGCCACTCATCAATCAGCGTGAGAGGAGAGTTCTCTACCCTTGCGCCAGGTTCTGGAAATCTTATCGTGAGGCTGCGTCAGACTAACTAAGGGTTTTGCTTATGCGCCGAGAAACAAGATTGATCGTCAATGCAGCACTTCACATCTCACCTACGTCGGAGGGGCGCATCAACCTCTAACGGGCACTCCACGCGGATGCGTGCTTCTTTCTTTCTTTCTTTCTTCCTTCTTCTTCTCCTAATCACTATTTCCGTAATACGCTTCCACCAGGACTCCAAATGCTAGTATCCGTATAGTGAATTAACCCAGAAATCCACATAGTTAATAGGGTACGTTCGGAAATTTGGAAGTTCGGAGAATTGAAAGGACACCGCCACAGGGCTACGTAACCTCCAAGGTAACTATCTAGGTTAAAATTATCAAAATGTACATTGTAATAAGTCGGTACTAATTTCGATGTTTAGTAGCAACAGAGCGTCCCCGTTCATAGTGTAGGAGGCTAAGATTCAGAACCCCGGTAGGGTGTAGTTTGACAGGGATATCCAGAACCCCCCCGACGATAAGAAGTCAAGAATATTTCGTCATATATCCTATTTTGCAACCCCTGGTCCACCAGCATTGAAGGGCACATGACCTCCGTATGCTAGTTTAGCATCTGCCGTGGAGTAGTACTGCTTATCGCGGAGCTGTTCTCTTCTGGGCTGCACTCGCAGCTTCCGGTGAGAACATGGCTTCTCATCTCGCTAAACGAGCATAGCAGCTTGTCTGCCGACCGACTGCAGCTTCAACCATCTGCATTTGCAGCATGGCGATGGAGGGACGGTGTCCACCCCTTCTTCAGGAGCTGGCTGCTTCACCTGCAAGATCCTGCAGGGGAATCTGCCAGCCCCTTCACCTACATCATGCACCGTAAGGGGTGCTGTCAACGTACCTTTTTTTCTTTCTTTTTTTTCTCTTACTTTTTTCGTTCTGCAAGGAGGAAAACGCTGGTGCAAGATGTCTCATTCATCAATGCCATTCGGCGTCGTATGAAGCGACAGGTTGCTAAAAATAAAAAAATAAAAAGTAAAAAAAAGTATTGCCTACTGTTTTTCTCGGATCCGTTGAGAAGCAACCAGCAGCAGTCAGAAAGAAACTGCTCCTCACATCAAGTACGGGTCTCGTTGACTTCAGGGCTCATCGCTCATTGAATTACGACGACGACATCTCGGGTCATCGGCTGTGGGTGGCAATCTCCGTGTACACTATCAATGGCCGGCTACCTTCGGCGTGACGATAACCAACCCGTCTCATCCGCAATCATGGGTATCGGCACAACCATGCGGTCGAATTGAGAAGCCTTTCACTCGAGCCTCTACCTAGAAACTACTGGATGCCAAGTCGCAACTAACCTGGTGTAATCGCCAGCCTTACATTCGTGCGATCTGCACCGACCTAGCGGCATTGGTTCAGCGTCGAGGGGGGGGGGAGCGGGGGGAGCGAATGCCGGACCCTTCCATGATGGCGATCGGCAAGCTCCGTCCGGCTCGGACAACATGGCTGGATGTCACCGCACAATCAGCTGGGAACCACGTCCAACCGCCGGGAATCCGTGCTCTGCGAAGGCTGTATCTCGCAGCCAGGCCATGTGTTGGTCCAGTCTTCGGGGTGGCCTCGGGAGATCGGAAACCAAAGGTGCATATGCCCTCTCTCCCCACCACCCCCCGCTTCTCCGACTTGAGAGAGAGAGTTGAGATGAAGCTGTCTCACGGTATTACACCTCACACCCGAATTGTTGCATTTGGCGGTGTCAGCCTCACCCGAAGAACCATCGGCTTTAAACTTGATGACATAGCCGTCAAGCAAGTCTGGCTATGCACCCAGGAAGCTTTTGATGCGGGTCCTTCTCGACCAATCCACCTCGAGGATTTCCCGCCATGCAAGTTCGCCAAGCGTCGCAACTCGCTGGGTCGTCATTGGCTTGCTCGTTCGCGTTAGTCTGGACCGGGGAGGAGGAAAGATGCTTCTCTAGGTATTTGATAAGCAAGCGGGTGCCAAATTAAGCCGCACTCAGTGAAGTTGACTTAAGGTGGCCTGTGCTTTGGGGATCCACAATATGGTAGGGAGGTAGATGCTGAAATAATACCTACATAACCTATATTTTAGCGCATAGGCACTCGAATCAACCACTGTAATTTGTGAGTGCGGCTTTTTTTGTCACCCGCCTGATAAGGAAGTTGGGAAGAAACAAAGAAAAAGAAAAAAAAACTATGGCGAATTGTTTCTTGGTTTTAGGTGTTAAACCTGAGACATGCTCTGCCGAAACGGCCGGTAGCATCTCTAGGCGACACACCCACACCAGCCATGGACCTCTCAGCCGTCATTTTCCACATCACCCCTCCTTACCTGGGTTGCGAAGGCCCTCACCCAGCTTCTAACTTGTTCATCCTTGCACACACCCAGACCGGGAATGGTGCATTGCGAGGGTCGTTGATGATCAACGGTGACGTCGGGGAGGGGGGGTGCGACTGTGAATGAGGAAGCAAACAAGCTCTGCCAGTGAGCTTTGCAGGCAGTTCCGCAGAGTTTACATGGCAGAGTCGCCATCGTCTGTCATGGGGCACCCCGGTAGACTCTTGTTGTACATGCCATTAGAGCTCACGATGCAACCAACCTCAAGTCCGTCATAAACCCGGGCTGGACTGACTCTGCCGCCATTCAATCCCCCCATCCCTGACCCGAAATCCCTTTGAAAGCAATCGGGCTGTTGGGAGGTGAATGTAGGTCGACAGAAAGCGCAGTGGCAACATGATATTGGCAGTGTTATTGGCTCGGCTGGTAGCCCTCTCTCTACGAGGCTGTCGGATTGACACTCTACCAGGCAATATGGCCGCCCTGAGCCGCGTCCTGTAATGAGCCAAGCCTTTTCTTCACGCCACGATATGCTCACCTCGTTGGCGCGGGTACGGACGCTTTGCGGGATAGATGTACGGGGTACATGCCACGTCTGGCTGCCTGCAGCCGCCTCTCCGGGGCTGCGATAGATAGTCTGTATATCTGCATGTCTGGCCAAGACAGGGCAGGGCAAAGGCTCGGATATACCGTCGTAGACGCTGTAAAGACCCCGTCCAACGGTTGGCTGCCGGCCTTTTTTCTCGACGAAATGAGCGGGTGGATGGCGTCTCAAGACTGGACCTCCCGGCAACAAAAAGCTGACCCCCCCCTGCAAAAGGAGGGGTTTTCTACAGCGCTCGATGCCGCTAAAGGATCTGCTTCAAGCACGTTGATCGACGTACATGCTGCAGGAGCTGGCATTGCGAGACTTGCAACGTTCTACAGACAGTATGCCATATACTGCGGCTTCATCAGAGGCGACGCTGGACGGTTGAGACAATTTTCGCTCTGTGGTTGACACGTGAAGTAAGCGTCCTGAGTCCATGGTAAGACCGGATCCAATAGAATCCTACGTTTGACGACGTCCTCTTAAACTATTTGGAGTCGACACCAGATACCAGACGGAGGCGCGAATCACGAGCTGCAGATACAGGATGTAGCAGGGAAAAAGGGTGCGTTTTCGGGAACCGAAAGGCGACTACTACAGGTCCACAGGCTTTTTGCCCGGTCCAAGATGGGAATCCCCCGAGTCAGTTGCTTGGGGGAACCTAGCAGGGAGATTGCTTGCTTGAGGTCTCCATGGGCCGGGCTGTTCGGGACCACTCTACGGCTGGTGTGTTCGGCAGACGGGAGACGACGGCTTGGACCGACGGCCGCCTGGCGACTGACTGACTGGCTGGGGGGGGGAGAGGTTAGACTCGACGCGCAGAGTGGGCTTTTCTATCACGCCAAACCCGCTGCTGTTTGTGGTCTCGTGGCCCGATCAGCGGAGCCTCAGCTTCGGAGCCATCATGTATCCGGTAGACTGCGCCGACGCAAGGTGAGGGGTTCTTGATGGTCGTACAGCGGTCCATCCAGAGTTCGACCTCGCATGCATTATTGACCGCGCTTGGCTGTAGAGCGTCTAATTGTGGCATCCTGCACGACGCGACACAAGACGGCCAACTGAAGCAGCACATCACACAGTCTGCCGTGGCCTCGACTCCACCGGGAACCCCTTCCGAACACGTGGGATGCCTGCGTGGGGAGGGGGGGATGACCTCCTTCACCTCCAACGCAACGTTGAGATGGACGGCGAAAAAGCAAGGGCAAGCTTACCATCCCCTCCTTGCTGATCAGTTTAGTGTCATAATATACCTGTATTATGTACATCGTACATAGTACATTGTGTACGGCCTGGAAACTAAGTGAGTAGTAGTAGTGCCCATCCCCCTCGTCCTCATCCCAGCAGGTCTAGACAGCGTCGGTTTGACGGAGGGGTGAGCGATCATCTTTGCAAAACGCCGAGACAATCATGGATGACCCGCCCTACACATCCGCAGCGGAATTAAGGCCAGGAAAGGATCTTCCCAGTAAGAGAGCGGCAGCTCCCTCTCTCTTCTCTCTCGTCACCCCGGGAGGACGGGCAGGGTGCTGCTGGATGAGATACGGGTGGAGTGTGCTGTTCTGACTCGAGTGGTTAAAGATATTGAAAACGGGCTCTCCCAAATAGGAGACGCGCAGCAGCTTCGTCATCAGACAATCATCTTTCTCCGACCTTCAATGCGTGTGCCGTGTCCCCCACCAGCACTCGTCGGAGTCAACACCGTCTTGGTGTTCAGAACTTCAGCCTGGCTGTCTCGGCCCCGCTCCGAAAGACCGGCGTTGTTGGACGGAATGGTTCCTCGCCGTCAGCAACTGTCGAATCGACAAGGGGGCCGGTCTACGGAATGTACATCCGGCTTACCTACTCTGCAGTAGCAGATGCACGTCGCTCAAAGCAGATCGAAGAGAGACTCGGATCGACAACGTCGCCCCCCCCCCCCCCCCCCCCGGTCATGCAAATTTCACAATACCTAGGTTACAATCCCGCAGGGATTCCAGTGAACGCTGCCCAACTGCCGTCGAGTGTCTTGATCCGGGGCGTGCCCCCGTAGCAAATCGAAGAGGGTTAGCTTTCGATCAGTAAGCCGCCACCAATTCTTTCTCGATTACAAACCACAGCACCGCACCACAGGGAGGCGAGGGCGGCGGGTTGAGATGAAGATCTTCTTGCTTCCGTTTCGTATAGACTCTATTTTCGACGAGGGGGTTCAAACTGAATCACAACCGTAGGCAAAGCTAAACGCATTTGACCAAACGGTTGCGCGCGTTATGTGAAAAGCTGACGGCTTACTCGACCATAGTTTTGCTTGGGGCAGACATTCTGCAAAGGTTTCAGGCCCCGCTGAAGAACTTAAAAATAATAGAGATATGACAAAAGAAAAAAAGAGAAAAAAAAGCCGTGAAAACGCGCATCTTCATTTACCCCTCCCCCTGCCAGCCACACCCAGAGTGCCGGCCCTCTCTTTGGTATGTCAGCCTAAGAAGAGGCGCAATTTCAGGGGGCAAAAAGACAAGGGGAGGGGGCGTCTTTGCGGAAGATTTACCGCTGTACGACCTAGACGTCAGAGAGAGAGAGAGAGAAGGGAGGGGGGTTGGTTCCAAAAGAGTGAGTTTTGCCGTCTGCATGAACATCCAATAACTATCAGCTGCAAGGGATCCGGACACTTTTCCCCCTCTTACCCTCTCCTTCTAGCTAGCCTTGAGAGCTGCATGGATTGAGCTTGCGGGCATGGGCTAGATCTGCAACGGGGGTCATCGCCAAGCTTCCAGCTGAAATAGTTACATTCGCCAGATACGCATGGGAACGGGCATCGCCCATCGCACACGCCCGCCGGGCAAAGCAGTCGTCGTCAAGGCCCCCGCCAACGAGGCCATCATCCGACGGATAGCCCTAGGAAGAACTGTCTGCGGCCCTGTAACCAATATGAAGGACTCTCGAGCTGAGACATGCAGTCTCCACGAGCGAAGGTCGGGTGTCTAACACACTCCCTGCAACGCACAGTCGTCCAGTGAACAGACACATGCCGCCGCCGCCCGCTGTTGCAATGGGGGTGCTCGACATCCTACTCCACGCGGTCAACAGCGGCGACGACGACGTCGACGTCGTTGTCGTCGTCGTCGTCGTATTCGTCCATGGGATGAATTTGAAGGGAACGGTGTCAGTGAGTGCCTGCGAGCCTACTCAGCTTCGCCTCCGAGCCATCCGGTTTCGTGGGCGAGCCAAAGAGAGAGGGCGATGACAAGACGAACATGAGACCGGACTTGCCTGGCACAGAACTATTGCGTCCCCCCCTCTCCCCTCCCCCTCCTCCCCCCCCCGCGACTCCCCGCAGAGCTTTTGCGCGTTCCTGGCGGCTGAGCCGCCTGGTGCTACACTGCACCCTTCTCACCACATCGAGCTCGCACGGGCATCTGGGCCAGCCATAGGGAAGGGGTGAGGACGAATGAGGTGGGGGGGGCATCATGACGTGTCCTACTATCACGACGATCCACGACAGCGTCAGCCGGCCGAATCCAGCACAGGTTCTCATCAAAGGTGCCGCCTGTCGCTGCCTGTCGTCGTACCCGCACCAGGCCGACGGACGGTGAGGCCATCCTATCCGAACGGGGGGGCCTGCTCCAGCTGTTGATCAACCGTCGGGATGAGCAGAGCTACGGGGAAGACCTTGCGATGATAGTGAAGTGACAGAGAGGAGAGAGAGACTGCAATGTAGCCCTGCCGCGGCCGGGTCCCCAGCCATCACCCGTGTGCTCAGCCTCCCAGCAACCGGGGAGGGGGGGGGGGGGGGTGGTGTTTGGAAAAGGAAAAGGAAAAAGCAGCAACGACAACACAACAATACGGTAACATGCTCTTTGCCAGTATCAAGCTCGTCCGATTCCCCAGAGATCGGCAGGTGCTGTCGGGTCTGGAAGAAGTCAAGGTGTGCGACTCGCCAACGAACGAGGCCGAGCGGTCTGCAGACCACTGGACGAATTCATGCAGCGGCATTAGTTCGACCGAGCTAATGCAAGCATACCTACACATCCCTTTCTCTCACGTTGATCGACGACGGCGCGGTTGGTCGTCGTCGTCGTCGTCGTCCACCCTCGTCGCCGGACGTCGGGGCGCCGGACTGGCTAGTCCGGCGCGCAAACGACCCAAAGTCCTAAAGCCGACCTCGTCCCCCAGTCATTCCCAAAAGGTCGACCGAAGCCTGCGCTAACAGGCACTACCGGAAAGAGGAGCTAAGAAAAGTTGAAAGGTTAAAAATGAACTTGGCAAGCAGAAAAAGCAAGTCTGGAGCTGGCCGTCGTTACGTACCGGCCACCAACCGACGCTAGCCTCTAGACTTGGGAAGATTGCACACTTCGAGGGAGGGGGAGGCAGGGGAAGAAGGATAGGATGGGATGGGACTGACCTGACGGCACAGACAAAATGCCAAGTTCCTCATGGTGAAACCGGGCTGCCCTCGTGATGACCCGGTCGTCGTTCCGCTTACCCTATTTTTTCATGTTTACCTCACCCCCTCACAGATCGAGCCATCGTTGTGGAAAGGTTTCGGTATGAGGGGATCACCCATGAAAGGCCGATTAAGGTCCTTTCTATTCCCGCCCGCTCCTCCTCCTCCCACTCCCTTCCCCTCCCCTCCCGGCGGGCGGTGAGAAAGAAACATATTCGGTTAACCGGGACCGAAAGAAGGGCGGGACAAGCTCACACATCGGATGTTTTGGGGGAAACAGCGCGAAGAGGCGCGAAAGGTTACTTGCTTGCTGAGTAGAGAGAGAAAGGTCATGATGAGCTGCGGGCGGGCTTCGGATGGGGAGGCAACGATGTTGAAGCGCGCGCTCGCCTCCCCGCGGCGAACGTCGCGCGACCTCTCGTTCGCTACCTCGGCACGAACGTGCGTGGATAGCGGGAGAGGACAGGCTTGCGACATCAGAATTAGACAGACGGCACACGCTGGTTGCCATTCACCTGCCCCTCCCTCCCTCCCCCTGTTTTTAGCGTTGGCTTTGCCTGCCGCTCTCGACATATCCTATCTTGGTACTGACTGACTGATTGACCGACGGACTAGCAGCAGTCCGTTCTCACTCATCTCCAAGATCATCTCCCCACCGGAGCTAGCCTTGGCCGGTCGATCCCACGTTTTCCCACGTTGTCCTCCTACTTCCCCTCTCGCACCCCCCCCTCATCGCCATGGCGCCTCACCAATCTCCACAGTCTGAGCGGCTGCCTTCACGCCATGCCATGCCTCACTCTGTCTCCTCTAGTTCGCCGTAGTGTAGTGTCCTGCTAGTTCCAGCTCACCGGACTAGAAGGGGGTGTTCGTGGGGTGTTGAAGAAATAGGGGGAGAGGAGGAACCACTTGGTTTGTCTCACGACCCTATGCTGTCGGCAGCGGTCCCATCCAGAATAGAAATTCTGTTTAGGCATCGCTACGAGGGAGGGGGGCCGGCTAGCCCTGATACATTCATCCGGTTCGGCAACAGGCTTGCCTCCTAGCCGCCAAGGCCGCTGAATCCTTGCGTCCACCGTGGAGTCCAGCCCGAAGGCGTGGTGTCTCACGTTAGAACGCATGCAATATCATCATTTCTTTTTTTTTTTTTTTTTTTACTTCCCCGTTTCCCTGCAAGAGAGAGCTCTCGGCGCTCGTCCTCGTGAGCCGCGTGTGGGGGGGACGGGAAGGCATATGCGAGCTCGGCCTTGGCAGGTCCGAATTTCGGTCGTCGGGTGCGATGGAGGTCGCTGGTTTGGTTCATAGAAGGGGGGTGTGGGTGGTATGGGGAGGTTTCGTAGAGCCCGGAATGCTCAGCAAGGGGTCTGGGATGGTAGAGAATTCCTTGTAGCTTTCCGCGATAACACCTCCTAGACGGAGGGCACGCCAGTCGAGCTTCAAGGTCTATTCTATCTTTGGAGCCTCTCCTACCGTACGTACCATAGGTTGTGATCCTCGGTTCGCGATTAGTCGTTCCCCTCTATACGGAAAAAGCCTAGTTCCTGGGCACCCAAGGGACCGAGCAGGACGTGATGGCGTGAGGAGCACGGAAGGGGGGCACGGAGGGAGGCGTTGAACGGGACGGACGGACTCGACGGAGCACGGAGGGGAAGAGGGGGTATGCTGGGGTATAATGGAAAGGCCTATGAAAACTCGGAGCGCGGAGTAGAACAGCCTGGCCACAAGAGAAAATACGAGAGAAAGAGTGGTGGACGGAGAGCACGGTGAATGTTGGTGTAGCGTTGAGAACAGACATGACGCGAGAGCGAGAGAAAATAGAGCACGGAAGAGAAACAGTGGCACGGAGTCCGGCGAGAGCACGGAGAGGCAACGGCGCAGGAGATGCCGCGGGGCTCCCCGACTTGGGAAACGACCGAGATGGTTTGTCGTCGTATGCCCGTTGATAGGACGACCGAGGGACCGAGTGGTTCAGCAAGCGTCCGGACGCGCGAGGCCGGCCATCCGGCCCCATGGTGCTGTCGGGATTCCCATCCCAAGATGAGCCCGTATCCCGGGCCCTTTTACGTGCGTGCGTAACGCGTCCGTTTCTCTGACGAACATCTTTCCGCGCTCGAGCAGGAACGCGATGGAAGCCCGACAACCGTTTGCGCTCAGCCCCTTCTCTCTCCCCTACGTGTGGTCAGCCTCGCCAGGTTTCGACAAGAGGGGGGGGGAGGGGGGAGGCAGAAGTAAGAAAAGGGCGCTGTTTATCTGACCGCCCGCACGTCCAAAGGAGTACGTGCAGTAGCAGGCGAAAAAAAAGAAACAACGGTCGGACGATCGTGAGAGACAGATAGCACGTCCAGTTGGATCGTTGGATGGTTTCACGGGTTTCCCGTAACGTCCGAGAGCAGCGCGTCCGTTCCTTCGCTCCTCTCTCTCTCCCTTGCCCTCCCCCGTCTCTCCCTAGCTCACGAACGCCGGGTGCGAGCGCTGCTGCAACGATGGAGAAGAAGAAAAACGCCGAACGGGCGTACGGACGGACGGACCGGCGGACGGACGCCGCCCACATGGAGTTCCCCAGATCCAGGGAATCGCGGCGGCGAAACTCGAGACGATCTCGTTTTCTCTCCTCTGTGCGTAAACAGGTGGCCTGCCTCGTGTACGCGACGCCACGCCCGTTCCTTCTGCGGCACACGGCCGTTATCATCCTTGTGTCGTCGTCATCATCACCATCATCATGATCGTCGATGCCAGGAGTCTTACTTACACACGTTTGGGGCCTGGAGCCATCACTACCCGTCAACACGGATACACGCGCACGCGCGCACGCGCGCACTATGGGCGCGATACGGGTACCTGCGAGCTCACCACAAACTCTACACCACGCCGTTATTTAGCGTGGCGCGAACAGACGGCGCTCGACCGGCGCCCCAACACCCAACGGTTGTCCCCGAGGGGGTGGTACTCAGGCGTTGGTTGGGTCACGGCATTGCGGGCAACACCAGACAGAGTGAGAGTGAGAGAGGGGGAGAGAGAGAGAGAGAGAGGACAGAAGAGAATTCCGGGCTAGGGGCGCGCACAGAGGTCCGGAACGGGCACCTAGACTCTGTGTCAATCCTCGTGAACCGCAACTGCTGTGTGCTTACGACCTCGTATGGCGGCTTGTTTTTGTTTGGGTTTGGTTCCCATCCCAAGCACGGCATAAACAATGTTGGGGAACGGCCTTCCCCCCCCCCTTTCGTAACCCTCGGATACAGACACAAGCCGAGGCTATCTATTTCTTCCATTCTTCTTCGTCTTCTTCTGTGCAGAGCCGCTCTGGCCCACAGGCCCGGTCCTCTTCCATCTGGAGGCCTGGGACTTGCGGCGCCAAGAACGAACCAAGGCCAACGAGCAGGCTCTTACGTCGTCCAGCTCTGTGAATGTAGTTTCTTTTTTTTTTTTTTTTTGCTTTTTCTCTCTCCCCCTCTCGCGGCTAGGCGGTGTTAGAGTTCGGGAGGAACTAGCCAAAAGGGAGATTTGATAGTGTCGCTTACCCCGACAGAGAACTGCCGACTGATTGATTACGCGGTCAGTCATCCACCCGGGCAGTGCTTCTTGACCGCGAGAGCAGAGGGAGACGGTGAAGGAGAGCATAAGATAGAAAATAACTGCAGTAAGCTTGTTTAGGCAATCCGTGCGAGGGGTTTACATCTGTCACTGTTTCAGCGCCAGTCATATTCTAGATCTCGCAGTTCAACAACTGCCGACATGCAGTAATTACTATAAGGACACACAATAATACTATTGATTGGGGGGAAAAGGGAGTGGAGGTGAAAGGGGATGTCCAACCGGACCTCATGCCGTGTAAGCGTGCATATCGAATCTGCCAAGGGACGGGCCTCTCACCGAGTCTCTCGCGGCATGCCACGTAGAAGGAAACCCGTGCGAGGTGAAAAAAGGGCCGTCCAAATAGGGGGGGGAGGGGGGGAAGGGGGCAATGGGGCTGTGATATGAGGCGTAGACGGCAGACGCGGTATTTGGTTCACGATATCGGTACTTTTTTTATATTTTACTTATTGCGTTTCGCATCAGCTGTAAAGTAGCCAGCTTTCTGTCGGCCTGGCCATGCCGTCCCGAGCCGAAAGTGCTATTGTGAAAAGAATTAGAAAAAGATTCGAGCGGTCGATCTCTCGCGGGTCCAGCAAGCCGCCGGCCCCTTGTATGCCCACGGCGTGGATTCGTTATCAACTCTATCCGAGGGGGGGTTGAGCACGTAAGTAAGGGCGTCGATCACGACGATACAACAACATCGGGTCCAAAAGTCCTCCCTCTCGGAGTGATCCCGTCTCCCCCCCCCCCCCCCCCTGCCCCCCCCTCTCCCCTTCGCAAATCGACGCGCAGGATTCTGATCTCCCTGCAGCAGTCGAGGGTGCCGGCCGCAGCAGCGACACGACATGGTGTGTTGACGACCCTGCCTTCGACGTCGGACAAGGTTGGTGGCTGACACTGGTGTTGTTATTCCGAACGGAGGGGGCGGCTGCAAACCCGAACTCTCTTCTAGCAGTACGCCCAGTCATCCGCGGCTGTCAGCATACAGCATGCAGACCCAGTGTTCATCTGTACGTGAGAGCCTTCGGGGCATTGAGCGAGATGGGGAGGACCTGACTTTGGAAAAAAAAAAAAAAAAAGGCCTCGATGCTTGGCGACCAGGCATCGCGCCGGTTGGAATATCTAAAAGAATGAATGCTGCGGCCACTCCGGGCATGACATCACAAAACACCGTCGGAGGAGGAGCGCTGGCCGGACTCCGGAGGCCAAGACACTCAGCCCGTCGCAATATGCACAGCAGCGGAAGCGAGCAGCGACAACGAGCATGGCCCGGCGCGATCTCAACTCGTCCAGCCGTGCCGCCGCCGCCGCCGCCGCCGCCGCCACGACATTGGAGGCGAGGATGAGCCTTCGAAAGGTCGTGCTGGCGCGAACTGGCGCATCGGACGACGGCTGCCACGGGCACATGCGAGAGGAGGCTCAAGCGAGCAGTGCCGTTGTCCCTCCCAGAAGACAGGCCGTTGTGACATGTAAGAAGACTGGGAAGCATCTCCGACGCGCGGTATTTCCGCATGTCAGCCCTCCCCGCCAGGCCGCCCACCACGCAAAATGAGCCTCTCTCTCATTGCCATTCATTCAACTTGCGGCATTTCGTCGTGGGTTCCTCGGCGAGGGGTGTGTGTGAGAGAGAGAGAGAGAGAGAGAGTGAGAGAGAGAGAGAGGGTTTGGATCAAGAGATCCGGAGTGAGCGACAAGGCCCCCCCTCTCCCCTTTCGCGGCTGTAATGCCATTCGTAGACATTGAAGTGAAGCCGGTGGGTTTTTCCTCGACTGACCCGCTTCGGTGTCTCTCACTCTCACTCTCTCTCTCTGTGTGTGTGTGTGTGTGTGTGTGTCTCTCTCTCTCTCTTGCGCGCGCGCGCGTGTGCGCTTTGACGGCCCGTTTTGGCTACTTGCAGCAAAGTCAGCCGTCGCTCTTTTCCCGCATGTCCATCGTCTTCCGTTTGACAAGAGACGAGTTAGTTCCTGCAGCTCCCCCCCCTTAACGTGTGTCACCAGCAATTTGACGTACAGAGTGCTTGGAGTGTCGCCGCACCCGGTGCCTCATTCGTTGCAAGGGGAAAAGCCTAAACTCCCCCAAACCCCCCAAAACCCCGGCCCTTTCTGTGGCGGTGGCCCATCGGCGAGTTACGCCTGGCAAGAAGCAGGTGGAAGATTGTCGTCGGCCTCGGGAGACGAGAAACAAATTTCGCGGTGAACCAGCTGGATTGATGGGGAGACAAGGTCGGCAGTTGTTCTTTTTGGTGTCGTCCAATATTGACCAGGCAGGGCTATAGTAAGGCCTCTCTTAAGGATCATCGGTGGCAATTATTTATCATTATCCCGGGCCGGGGGGGGGGGGGGGGCCTTTGCTGCGAACTCCTGCAGACGACAACAAGGAAACCGTTGTATTTGTCTCTCTCTCTCTCTCTCTCGCTCTCGCTCTCCATAGTGCATGCAGCAGCAATGAGACAGGCCCGCCCTCTCTTCGCCGCTCCGCCTTCGAGCCCAGCGCTCTTTTCCCCGATAGGGTTCATGACGCTTTTGTTTTCATTTATTATCATTTTTATTCTTCTTCTTGTGGCATCGACCGTGACCTCCAACCCGGCAGATGACAAGGGGGGGGTTTGAATATGCAGCATGGAACGGCAGAGTGAGTGGGTGGGGGGACACCATCCAGGGCGTCTCATGACGAGTCGGCATATTCTCCCTTGCCCCCCCCCTCTGTGCCTGGAATATGCAGGCGGTAGTTTCCGGACGCGAATAATAGATCGAGTGCGACATAACCGTACTTTTCGGCAGCGTAATGTTATCTCGTCCGTCATGTTATCCGCGACCCCCGCCTCTTTCTGCAAGACACTCTGCCGTTGATCATATCAGAGCCCTCGTTGCGCACCTGCGCATACCGCCATGAGCTTGACCTCCTTGAAGAGAGGGGCTGCGCTAGTGCGCCTTGTGGGTTAGTTTAGGGAGTAGACGGGCGGCCAGGCCGCCGTCGGCTGGATCCCCCCCGCCTGAACGACAGACCGACAACCCTCTCTGTCTCTTTCACAGTCCCTCTTTGTCTCCCTCTCTGGCGACTCCCTTGGGTTAGACAGATGCTCATACAACCGAGCCAGGACAGGATAAGTCCCGCGTCGAGTGGCTGATGTACCGGTAGCTTTTGGGGGGGGGGCATGCATGACCCATGTCGATACAAGGCGAAATATTCGCGGAAGACTTCCGTCTACGTAGTAGAGCGCACCGTTGAAGAAGTTTCAACACCTGCACGTCAAACCTTTCTGTCCAGCGACCCATATTTGATTTCCGCCTGACAGCTTTCCAATCCCCGTTGCTGTCGGGCCGCAGCATGTGTAAGTAGGGGGCAGCCAGCCAGCCAGCCACAGGCAGCCAGCCACAGGCAGCCAGCCACAGGCAGCTCAGTCAGACTTGATGAAGTCCATGTGCGAAAAGTTTGTCTTCCACTACAAGTTTGCTGACGCCATACCCGTACGGTGGGCCTTGGCTTACAGTCAGTCCAGCGCAGCAAAAGTAACTGCGAGAATTCCCCTCACAGACGAGTTGCCTGGCTGTCGACGACGTGCCAAGCAGAGAGACGTTGTAACCGACGCCCAAAGTGGTCGTCGTTTGGTGGCGGTCGAGCGACGGCAATGTAGCAGCGCCTCAGTTTGCGCAGTTTGGTTCGTGGCGGGGAACCAGGTTGCTCGGCTCGTGTACTGTAGTTGAAGCTCGACATCCCATCCCAGAGTCCTTTGGACGTGCTTATTACGACCTCGGTGCTGGCCTAGAACGCTCTTGTTCCTGGCTAGGTGTTAGTCAGTGTGCGGGGGGGGGGGGATGGACCAGCGACTGAACCGTCGCGGGTGCCCCCTGGGTTGGTTAGTTGATCGCCCGTACGATCCCCCCCCCCTCCCCTCTTCTCGCTGGCATCCCTTGCCATTGTGGTGGTACTGCGAGCCGCCTCAATGCCATTCCCACAGCGTTACTTCGCGCTGCCATCGTCGTCTCAGTGGCCTTTGCGAGTCCGGGCGCCTACCACATCCTGCATCACTTTGGTTCTTCCGTCCGCGCGCCTCTGATGGATGGCAGGCCCCCTTTCCAGAGATTGCACTACGGCAAGAAAACACTCCGAAACCACATGTAAGATCGGCGACTAGTTTCCGTGACAGGGCCATCATCGGTTTTACAGAGAACAGGCCAGCGGAGATCCGATGGAGCTATATCGAGGGCCCCGCGGGGTACGCATACATACTTACGTACTCCGTACATTATACGCATGGAGGGGCGCTGCGATGGAGGCAAGGCTTCCAAAGAAAACCCCCCCCCGTGGTTTCGCTGCGTGTCGTTTCGGGTGCCGGGTGCCACAATGGTCTTGGCGTTCATTTGATTTAAACACTTGCCGAAGCCGGTGGTTGTGAGAGTAGCAATGGGGGGGGATCTTCGTACCGACTTTGGGTTCCATTGATGATACTTTGGCCGCATAAACCTTGCCTCACCTGCCCGTGCCGCCTTATGGCGTAGCGGGAAGCAGACGTCCTTGGGCAGGGTGCGCTGGCGAACCGTCTCGCTTTGGAGTGCGGTACCAGTCTTTGGAGCAATTATTCCAAAGACATCGAATCATGATCGTCCTGCCGCGGTGGTGTTGCAGAGGCGGAGACGATGGACGAGATTCTGCTCCACCATCAAAACACTTTCCTTCGGCCTGCCACTACTACCGGAGTACACTCACTCACTACCCAAGCAGTGTAGTATCTTTTGCCCTATATTCGTATGTATAGCGCATGCTGTGGAAATCCGTCCTTCACTTGCCATTGAAACGCTGCAACACCACCACGCTAGTCGAGTCAGCTTGTGGTCTGATGTTTGATGTCAGTGCCTGCTAAAACTGGTTGAACCAAACAATGACGTTGTGTTTGTTATACGTCTTGTCTCTTGCTTTAACGCCAAAGATACGTGCGTCTGTGTATATGCTACGTTGCGCCCACAAGCGATACCGTCATGACAGAAAACGATGTGGAGCCAGTTCGGGTACGAACCGCAGCTTGCATGGACTTCTCCTCCCAGCCAGCCCCTGCCCCTCATCGAAGGGAGGAAGAAGAAGAGATGATGAGGAGGGAGAGGAGGAGGTGGAGGAGGAGGAGGAGGAGGAGGAGGAGGAGGAGGAGGAGGAGGAGGAGGAGGAGGAGGAGGAGGAGAAGGAAGAGGATGACACAGACCGACCGGGTCTGCCGTAATGACGGCAAAGCCCGCTGTCATGTTTCTTAGGCGAGCACTGCGGGTGGGCACTGGGTCCTGCTGGAAATTAGAGCGGATCGTGACAGGCAGTCCTTCAGGCGATTTGACTTTCCGTACCTGAAGAGACAAGTTGCACATGGCTGGGGTTCATGATGGACCAGATTGGGTCTAGCGTCAGCGGGCAAACTATCGGTACTGCTCCTCCAATCTGCAGGCAGAGCAGTCGGAAGTGAGATTTGACATGATGGCAGAGAACTGGGTCGCGGGGAAGAGGGCGGGGGGGGGGGGGAGGAGTGAAGGAGGCAACTAAGATAAACCAATGTCGTCTCTTTCGTGCCAGACGACGAGGGCTGCTAGAGGACCGGAACTGCGCGAGGAAAGCCACGGCGTGGCATGATGCAGCGGTTTCCGTTGGTCTGCGATTCTTCGGTCTGGTCTGGCCTGGTCTGGTATAGCTACCACAGGCTGGCAGACCCAAGGAGCCTCAGCCATTGGACAAGAAAACAGTTAGCCGTGACCGGCATCGGAAATTTGCTCCTTGGTGGTCTCTGCTTATGCTTCCTCGGCCTCTGCGCCGTGGGAAAAGAGACAGGCTGCTGCAGCATTGACCAATGAGGCCCCGTAATGCGCTCGCTCCATTCCGAGTGTTCAACCGAGTACTCCCCTTACAGGTGTGTATCGTGGTGTGGTCTTCTGTGGTGTTTGACAAGGAGGAGATGAAAGGTTTCTTCTGCCCGGCCCGGACCCCTTCCTCCAGAGCAGACCAGTTGCAGTAGTGTCGGTGTACGCTGGTCGCATCAAATCTGGCTCGACGTCACCGCTGCACTACCGACGCAGTCTTGACATCGTCTCGCACCCCCCCCCAAAGCCTCTCCGTCTCCTACTAGTATACATAGTATGGCACAGTAGCGCGCATGCATGCCACGACAGTGTACGGATGCTCTGTGGGGAGTTTCGGATCCTATCCCGCCAGACACGGGGCTGATCGCCGCCGCAGAGTACATGCCTTGGGTACCTGGATAGAGTCTCTGTACCTTAATGTGTACTGGCGGGTCCGTCCCTTGGCTTGGGCGGGCCACACATCGACCCTGTCCTGGTCGTGAACCGATTTGCTCTGGTTCACTCCCCCCCCCCGGGAAGCATTGCTTATCATAACTTGGTTCTGACCGGGTCGCACCAGCGCCGAAATTCCAGATGGCAGTCTCCCCTTTCCGCCTGCCGCGAAGCGCAAGCGAGTTTGTCGCATTACCAAGATGGTGTCATGTCTGGCCCCGAGATTTGGCGATTGCAGCTTTGCGCCGGCCGCCAGAGTCTCGCTGGCTTACATAGTACATCATGCTGGCCGAGTCAGCCCGTCAGCCAAGGTCCAGCCCTGACGTAAACGAATCCTCCTTGCCTGCCGGCCGGCGTGTGCGGCGTCATGACACCTGTCTCGCTTGTCACGATGCCTTGTCTTGTTGGTTTCTAATAACCCTTGAACCATGCCGAACTCTGTGTGAGCGTCTGTGGTGTACCCCCCCCCTCCCCCCACGCCTGACTGTGTGCGAGCAAGACACTACGAGACGTGCTTGATCCATGCTAGCAGCCGCAGAAGTTCTACTCGTACTGGACTATGTTTCCATCCACCATACGGATACTTCGGGGGAGGTTTCTTTTTCGTAAAACGAAATAAATAAACAAATATAAAATGGAAATGAGAATAAAGATAAAAACAAAAAGAAAAAGAGATGGACAATCCAAGAAAAAAAAGAAGAAAAAAAAAACAGGATAAAGAGGAAAACTGCAATTCTCGAACCCCACTACCCGTTCCCGCTCCGCGCTTGTCTTCATTCTTCAACGCGGCAAAAGGCAAGCAAGCGGTCTCCCCACATGCAGTCCAACGTTGCTCTGCACTGCTTGGCCTGCTCGCTCGGCATAAGGTAGTATTGGGGAAGGGGGGCATACGGATATACAATGCCATTGTTCGATGATAGGAGTTTGCCATCGTTTACGGACGAAGAAGCTCCGTCTAACCGACCAGTCCGAGCTTCACCGACCTGATGACACCCTTCGACCGCACCGTCAATCGATCGCTGCCATGGCCGCCCCCCTTCCCCCGCCGCCATCGCCCTGGCTGGCATCCGAGTCCAAGCCGTTCCTGTGTGTTTTGCACTCCGCAATCGAACGGAGATGAAGATGCAAGACAGTGGATGTTGGGCGCAGCCGCTTGATTTGCCGTTGCATCTTGCGAGGCAGGCCAATCCCCCTGGCAGGTTGATGCCCCCGGAGACTGTTTGCCGGAATAAGGGCATCTTCAGTTGCAGCCATCAATAAAAAATTGAATAAAATTAATATAAAATTAAAATAAAATAAAACAAAAGACATCATCCAGCAAAAAAGCGATATGCTCGTGCCCTCGGGAGGGTGGCCCAGGCTTCGCCAGGGTCTTACATAGTAAGAATCCGTCTATCAGTACGCCAGAACCCAGGAAAGCCTCCAGCAGCGGCGCAGACACCGCTCTGGGGCTCTGCAGCATGAGTGATGTTGACCAAAACCTGTGCCTTGCCTTCGTTCGTGATCCTCCCCCTCGTCTGCATTGACGCATAACGACAGTGTATTCCCAATAGTCTTTGGACAGGACCCAGTCTTCTGGAAGCCCAGGCCTGGAAGCTCAATAGACCCATTGTAGCATGACTTGTCCTTCTTTTTGGGGCCTCGCCTCCGGGGCCGTGACAACCGTGAATGGAGTAAGTCCGACGGTACCCTGTCCATTAAGGCTATACCGAGCAGGGGCCCAGCTCAGTCGTGACGCCTCCAATCTGCAGGCTGAAGAGCAACAAGGAAAACCCTCGCCGCCGCTCAATTGACATTCAAGACAGCTTTGTATGGAGATATCATGTGTGCTGAGTCCCCATCAGCCCTGGAAAAGAATATTGATTTGCCCACATGCCATAGCCCTCTCGACGGGCCTGGAGGCAGGACCTGCCCCGCGAGTCCCACTCGCCGCTGGGCATCTCCTTGCCAGCGTTCCTCGGTGTAGTCCGCAAAACTGCGGCCAGCCTGTGTTCTGTGTGTTGCGAGCGTCCGTGTACTGTGAGCCAGCCACCACGGGCATGGTATCGAGAGAAAGGCCTCGGGGTCGCTGAAGATGTGTCTTGTGTAAGAGGGCGGATGATAGCGATACGGCGCCACAACTGTCCATCTCAGAACATTCAGGTCGGCAGCAAACAAAATGGCGTGACGGCTGGGGTAGCTGAAGGCGGCGAGGCGACCGTTGACAGGGCCGTAAAGCAGGGGACGTGCGCCGTGAGAGCTACTTGGGATGGACGGCACGGCGATCTGCAGAAGCAGGGCCTAACATGGCGGAGGCCCAAAAGCAGTGGGTGCACACTCACGGACAGGCCCTGGACACTTGAAGACTCCAGCAAGAGAGATGCAAGGCAGAGAAAGGATGGGGGCCCTTGCCAGATCCTGAGGGGCTCTCCGAATGACGAACGATAGAGCCCGTCCACATGCCCGCGTACCCGCAAGAGCGGCTCGCATATCGCGCATCTGATGGGCAAGTCCTCTAGTCTGACCCCGTGCCAGCTCAATTGGGAGGATATCCGCCCCGAGGCTCAGAACTCGCGACGTCTTTAGCACCCTCTGCAGAGAACGGAGAGAGTTGGCCTGTTAAACACAACTGTGACCAATTGCGGTTCGGGCAAAGAGGCGAAATGGGGCCCCCCCAAGCTGCGATTGCGTGGGAGCCATTGGCCAAGACATTCGTTCCTGCATAGGGGCGGAATACAGTTTGCATCAAGGGGCCCCCTATATCCGAAGGATGCTAAGGTTCCTCAGACCCCTCCCCCCGCCACAATCATGTCTTGGGAGGATTATTGGAAACGCCACAACGAACAGCCCAAGCCGGCGAATCCGTGATCGCAGGGCAAGAATTGTTCATCCCATTGTAGCCCAGGGAATACTCCATCTCGGGAGGATTGGGTGACTCGTCAATCCGACGAGTCCGAGGGCGGAGATGGATGGAACTGGCGATGATCCACAAAGATGGATGTGGGAAAAAGGCCAGGAATCGGTCATCAAAGGGGCTGCCGGGGCGAGTTGCAGACAATTAGGCCTTTTTCTTTTATTTTTATTTTTATACCGCGGTTCATCGGTTCCCGGATGTCCACCCAAGAGCGAGGATGCGGAGCCGGACGAAGGCGCATTCAAATCCGGCTTCCATTACGGCATCGCCCAACGAGAGACAGCGTATCTTGGAATAGCTTTCAGGACTTCTCGTTGTTGTTCTGTTCGAGATGGAACAAGACAGAGTTTGCATGAGACCGGGTGCCGGACTGATACCGGTATTCTCCTTGGGCTAGTGCACGCCCCTTTACACAGCAGAGGCGAACACATGGTCCGTGATAGACGTTGTCGCAGGTGAGCCAGCGTTTCGGCGGCGTGGGCAGCCACGCTTGTATGCTGCATATGTGACCAATAATCGATGTCTTGTTTGAGGGGGTGCTTGGGATATGCGGCGCAGTGTGCGTGTGAGGTCAAGGCCGCTGAGACAACCCTGCAGGTGAAAATCAGCAACGACATGCTCTGGAGGTGGGGGTGTGCTGTTTGGACCGTGTGTCGTTGCCTCGGTGGTCTCCGGTCTGGGCTAGAAATAGAGAGGAATCCATGTCGGCGAGTGGGATTGCCCATGGCCTCCGGTATCGGGGTATGTTCGCGGTTCCTCCGGGAAGGCCTTCTGAGTGGAAGACGGAGCTGTTGCGGGCGGGATGCGATAAAATCAATAAAAATGCCACATGGATCGTTTGACGACAACGCGGAGAGCAGACATTTTCCAGAGCGAGAGGTTACGTACGACACGGTGTTGTAAGCAAAGGAACTGCAGGCTCGGCCATGTTGTGCGAGGTGGTTACCGAGTGGAAACAACTGCAGGCAGGCGCGTTCGGCCGGGCAGGTAAAAAACCAGTAGGTGCCCCGCCTCCGTTGCTCCTGCACATCTAGGTAGGTAGATACATTACATAAGGTATCTAGGTACCTAGGTAGGTGCCTAGGCACCTTCCACGCACACGTACTTGTTACCGAAGCGCTGTGTACACCTTCCCTCATTGGTACCTTATCGGGTACGGTGAACCTCAGCAGGCAACAACTCCTCTGCCTTTCTCAGCAAACAACGGTTTGGAGTAACTGCCACACGACAGTACAGCAAAACAAAGACCACGCGTTTATGTATAGGTATGTATAAGTTGACCAGGGGAAGCCCGGAGAAGCAGTGCGTGCTCCGACGTTGCATCGCAAAAAGACACCATAGTGTCTGCCTTCCATACCCTAGTGCATAGTACACATATGATACTATGCAGTATGTTCCGTTTCGTGCCCGTTTCAGGGCCAGTGGCAGCGCCCATTGGTCCGTCGGATCTTCTAGAGCAAGTGGGGGTAATCCGACAGTACCTGCGAAGTACTGAGCCACTGAAAGAAGGTGGCTGGGAAGGGCTCGACAGATAGATGCCTTGGCCTCATTCTTTGATCCTCTACACGCATCACGCATATACACACAACAGGTACCTAGGTAGTTTCTTAGTAGACTCCGCCAGAGCGACTCCAGCTTAGCTGCATTCTTTGGTCTTCCAAAGTGCAACGGCTGTTTCATGCTGGCTGGCTGGTAATCACCACAACCAAAGTGGGTAGTACTTAGTACGCAGTAGGTAGCTTGCAAGCCTGCTTGTCTCCCGAGAATAATTCCCACGTTTTGTCTCTGGTGGGAGGGAGATCATCATCAACTCCACGTGAGGTCTGGAGGCCCAAGGTCCCGCCGATCCTTGGTGCTCTCTTCCTGGCCGCACTCCCGCGTTACGTGCGAGCTGTTGTTGTTCTTGCTCTTCTTGTTCTTGTCAAACAACCATGGCGGAACCGAAACCGCTGAGCCACACAGAATGCAGCGAGAAGCTCAGGCCTTTTGCCAATGTGGACGACATCACATCACATCCGAGAGGGGATCATGCTTGCCATGCAAATACTGCGGCCATCATGCCGCGTACCACGCCACCAGCACATGCTCGTTTGATGCCTTTCTTGTAATGGTGGTGTGGCATTCGGAGCAATTGCCATTTGACCCGAAATCAAGGAAGTCGACGGACGGGTCTCGCTAGCACCTGCAGATGCTATCGACGTGGGTGAGCCTCGCCATCTCGGCCCCAGTTGCAGAAACAAGTCACGTCATGGCCGCCTGAGACTACCTGACCTAGAGTCTGGCCACACAGTCTGCTTCTGACCCATTGCCCCCCGACGCGACGCTGGGGACACGCACGCACCCAGGCACGGTGCTAACACGGCAGGGCGGATCATCGCTAGGGATTTTGGAGACTTGTTTCTAAATCTGATCTCTTCCGCCTCCCTCGATCGCAACTCAAAGGCCCTGACTCGCAGAGCGCATATTGCATGTGGATTGTGTTGCTGCCATCCACGGGCTACGATTCGCTTGTCAGATGTATCTTTTGCATCGGCAACCAAGATTGAGCATTGTATGCAAGACATGTTTGATTTCTCTTGGTGGGATGCAACTCCCCACAGTCCGGCAGGCTGCACGGAGCAGAGGAGGAACAGCAGGAACAACAAGAACAACGAGGTCGGCAAGCAAACGAGTGGCGGCCAATTCTTCAGCGCGAGAACGGTGGACGACCCCATCGCCTTCATGCTCGTCCGTAGGATTCGAAAGGAAGGTTAGGGTCTGTGCGCGTTGCAGAGGAGAGCGAGCCAGTCCGAGGTGGTGGAGTTGAGGCAACCTCGTCCCCGTCAAGTCGTAGTATAGGCGACACGGGGGGTCGAGGACGAGAGGAGGTTGTCATCAGTGCGCTTGCAGATGAGGGGATCGATTATCTGTATCTGCATCTACTCCGGGAGGAAGGGGGGAAGGGCCGAAATGTCTTGTATGCTTGCTTGCTTGCTTGCTTGTATGTAGCATTCGGGACTTTGATGACTTGATCTACTAGTAGAGGGGATCAGGTACGTGCACACGCGGAGTGCCACATCCGGATCTCTAAATCCGCTGGCCGACTAACACGTCTGCAGCCAAAACGAGTCAAAATTCTCAGAGGTAGAGGAAGAGGGGAGAGACAAGTCAAAGGCAAGTTAGTCATTCTGAACCAGACTTTGAACAAGCAATAAGCTACCCATCTACCGACGAAGGCGGTCAAGGTAAAACCAAGTAAGACACACAAGACGGCAATGACACAGGCAAAGTCAAGACACAGTGAGGCGGACTCTCGTCACTCAAACCACGGGGAAAGGAAGGGTGCGATACACTAGAAAGACATACTGCAAGTAAGACATGGGAAAGAAGACCCTTTGGAACATGTGGGACATGAGGCAGCGCACGGACGACATGGCAAGCACGGATCATCGACGGACCATTGCGGGTGAAGTGAGGCAGTTTCCACCTTTGAAGTACGTACACATAGGCAAGAGCTAGCTGCGCTGCTCCTGCTGCGGCTGGGCTTGGACCTTCTGTATCTATATTTGCTATCGAAACCGGGGGAAAGAGGAGGCCTCGTAAAAATGCGAAGGAAATCCCGAAGAATGGAAGGCGGAACAGAAGAAGAGAGGACGGATCAGTACGGTGAAGGATATCAGGGTTCGGCAAGAGGCAAAAGAAGGGGCCCACCGACTTTTCCTCTCCGAAAAGGCGGACAAGCTGCCTGCAGAAAGGATTTGCAGGTGGAGGGGGGGCGCGAACGTACACTACGTTAACTACGGTACCTACCGGTAGAGAGGTGCAGGCGCAAATGCAGGTGCTATGATGCATTGCATCGAATGAATAGTCAACTTGCCTTTATTCCTCCGTACCTGCCGCCCCCATGTGTATGTGTACGTACCTGCCCCATCTGCGGTTCTATATGGGTGTTGCCGATAAGTCACATTCGACGTCGATGGCATTGGAACTTGCCAAGTGGGTTGGTGGGATATATCATATCGCCCTACCCTCCTCCCTCTAAGTCCAATGGGGGAAATGGCGGGGAATGGAAAAGGCTTCTGGTAGGAGGGCAGAAATGAAGACAGGGAGGAAGGAAGGACCGCAGGAACGAAGGATTGGCAAATTACGGCGTTGACTTCTGTTTTTGCCTCCGTTCCTCCCTTATCGATCAATATTGCCAAATGCCCAATACCAGCCGGCTCTGAACCCCATCTTTTCCTTCCTTCCCCGTGGCTGTGTCTGTGTCTGTGTCTGTGGCTGAAATGACCAAGCAAATAAACCCCTCTTTCTTCGGGCTGTCAAGCGTTAACGATATTGGGACCCTCCATCCGTGCGCCGACCTTCATCCACCACCCTTTGCCTCAACTTGGCTCGATATGTGGCTTATTGTTCGTGCTGCCCCACCATGGCTTCGTTCTACGCCATGCCAGAACCCTTCCTTCCCTTCTTTGCCAAGCGCAGGAGAGCCGTTGCACGCACTCCACTCTTTGGGAAAGAGCCCTCGAGCGCGCCATGGTTGTTACCGATAGTCTGAGGCACAATGCGTACAGTATTGGGGCTCTTCGGCTTCTGTCTGCAACGCGTGTGCGCCGCGCCCACTTCTGTATACTACAGTACCTAGCTAGCATGGGTGGCTTCAGCCTCGACGACAATGTCTTAAGAGGCCGGTAGGTAGGAGGCTCTGGCAGACATGGCCTATCATTTCTGGCTTTGCTTGCACGTAAAACGCAATCTCGGACCCGGATGATCCATCCATCCATCCACCCACCCCACGTCCCCCAGCTGCAAACATGCTCGGCAGCTGCACTCGGCATGCCTTTTCTCCGTTTGTTGTGTCGTCTATCGCTGCCGAACCATCCATCTGCTGGCTCGGCTAAGATTGACGTGCATGGCAACACTCGCCGGCCCAAGTTTCGGTCAAGGCTTGCTCCCTCGCCTTCTATCCACCTGGTGCCGTTACTTCACCGTCCCCCGGCTCCGAAGCGTGGCACCGCGGCACTTCGTTGTCAAATCCCGCATTGCGCTATCATCCCTGTCTACTGGGATCTGCCTGCTTCCCGAGCCCACTGCTTCTGGACTTCTTGGGAAGGTCACCGAGGCACCGCCAATAGGCTCCATCGGAACACCGCTGTTAGCACGCCATGGCTTGCTGTCAGCAGGCCTGTCAGGCTCACCTGCGGCCAATCATCATGGCCATGCGCCCTACCTCTGCCGCGCACGGATGCGCCTTGCTGAAAGGCGAATCCCAATCCGACTCTTGGTCTGGTTCCGACGAGAAACTGTTGCCTGCAACTATTCCGACGCAGATCCAACACGTCGATAGCGGAAGCGAAAATGCCAGGTCCCATTGCTACAGTCCAGCAAGGACCACGTCCGGCCCGGCCAGGCCAGGACAGACCGACCGATATCTTTGCATTGGGATTGGAAGCAAATGCCGTGTTTCTCAGCCAGCCGGGAGCACAGACACCCAGATGAGCAACGGCAGTTCGGCAGCGGAAAGCTTTTGATCCGCCTCGACCATTATGGGGTTTCACGCAGGCTCTCTCCCCATCTTTACTATTGCAAACCTGTTCGAGACTGGAGATCAACGGTGTGCTTCATGTTCCCTTTTCCTCTGGAAGCGCCTTCTTTTGCGTTGCAAGCTACCTTGGGTGACAGCGATTCATTGGACGTCGTGTACGTGCACATGCAACCTTAACGACGGAGCGGCGGAACCACGCTGGGCCGTAGTGGTCCGCGAATGGGGGTGGTTCGTTCGGCAGGGGCTTGGAGAAGCAAAGCAAGGCTTTAGATAACGGTAAGAGGAAATCTTTCGACTGGCCGTACGCTAACTGATAATGATAAGATGGCCCATGGCATTGTCTTGGGCGGTTTGGATGGGGTCTAGGTACCATGGTATGCTAACTGAAATAGGCTGTCATCCCATCGATTCGCTGGTCTGTCAACGGGCCCGATTGTGCGCCCAAAGGTCGAGCCACTCTCTGGTGGCCGCCGTTGCATTTGCCGAAGCATGGGAGTCCGGCGCATTTCTCATTGCCGAGGACTGAACCAGTAGTAACTAGAGAGGACCGATCTGCTCGTGCCGCGCTATCGACGACAACGATTGATAGTCCAAGGTACAAGGAGCATTGTGTGTATGCTGAGTAATCAAGCATGGGAACGACCCCGGCTGGAATTGCGACAGACGGTGGCGCACCAGGAGACGTCCGTCTTGCTTCGAGCTCCACGCCAAGGAGGTGGCTTTTGCGGCCAGTGATCCAGGCCTTCAGTCGATGCTGGATTAGGTGAGATATCATTTCAACGTGGTGGGTTGTCGTCTGATGTGCCAGTCGACTCCGGAAAATGATGATGCTGATTGAGATTAAGAAACAGGTCCGAGTATCTCTGGATTTCTTCAACAAAGTAGGTGCTTTCTTTTTTTTTTTTTGCCCCTCAGACCTTCGACGAACATGGCCCGTTTCTGGCTGGAACATTATTTGAAAGCAAGTCGGCCTAAGAAATAGACCGCACTACATACCTACAAATACATATGGATAACTTGGAGGGAGGAGCTCGACGTGCCATGGTCCAGGACCCTTGTGCATTTTTTAAGACATGACATGGTCATCATGGGACCACCCTCCCTGGCCGAACCGCTAACATTGAGGGCGATTGACAAATAGCATGGCCCCCCTTGCACCAATCGGCTGAAGAACGTCCTGACGCGAGACGGTTGCACCCGCTGAAGTTGTTTATTTGATCGTCAAATGCTACACCAATTGAGCCCTCGAAATGCAATGCCGGACGAAATGTTACGAGCCGCCTCCCAAGGGAAAGTGCATGACGAAGATAACCGGTTGATGGCGCGCTAAAAGAGATTTTCTGGTTACACCAGACTGCAAGAAACACGCGTTACTTTCCGCCTGGCGGTGCTCATTAGACCGGACTCGACGTGAGGACAGAGGGAGGGCTCACTAAGCCAACGGCCTCACCCAAGGAATACACAAAGGTACCTTTCCTGGGGATAATTTGGTGAGCGAGACAACATACGGAGTACCCCATGACCGACGGGCCAATACGATAGGAGGCAAGAAAAAAAAAAAGGAAAAAAAAAAAGAGGGCGCAGCGGAAGCTGCACTCATGAAACAACGGGACCCCTTTCACAGCATCATCTCCTTGGTGCTTTATTGGTGCGGCACCAGCTGTAGGTACGTACACTACTGCCCCCCCCCCCCCCCGGGCGGGTTGGCGAACATCAACATCACTACCAGTGACTGGCTACCTACCTACCAACCAACCTACTGTGAGGTAGTTGGCAAACTACACTAGTATGGCGCAGGTACTTGCAGCCAATTGTCCTGCAACACTGCACCTAAACCATTTAGGACAACTTGGGGCTGGCGGAAGTCGACAAGCGCAAAGCAGGGGCCTGCGACGCGACGAGCCTAGCGATAACAGAACCCAGGGCGGTCGATACAGCGGGGGGACCCGGGGAGGAGTGGCCTGGCACGATTTACCAGGCCCGTCCTAGGCGTACTGCGGCCACCAATCTGCCCAAAGGAGCGCAGCGTGCTGGGCAGCTTGGCTGTCGACACTTGCGGCATGCAGCAATGTTGACGGCTCCTAGCCAAGGCCAACGCCCTTAGCGTTCACGCTGTCACAGGCACAAAGTGGACCGATGTGTTTTGAATGTAACGGGGCATGGAGGTGGCCATGCTAATTGGAGAGGGGGAAGGAGGGGGGTCGACAGGGCTCAGCCTCGGCCTCCCGAAGCTGATGACAATGGCACTGATAGCTTGACGACTCCGGATGGAGCTTAGCAGTGGAGCGGAGGGGAGTGTCGTTCACCAGGCGGACGAGCCGCGAGGGTAGTGTAATTACTCTCTCGAGGCTCAGGAACAAGCCTTCTCCATACTCACATTTGGCCGCCGCCACGATTCGTCCCTCAACGCTGGACAACGAGACCAAAACCAGAAAAGAGAGGATTGCGGAACGCAGCGTAGTATGTGAATGGAAACACAAGCATGGTTCGAGAGGGGAAGCTTGCAAACCAGGCCACCCGCAACGCTATTCGACAGGGAAGACGCTTCACGATGCCAGCCGGGACGCGGGTAGGTAGAGCTTGCTAGCAAGACACTTGGCCTTTTTTTATTTTTATTTTAATGTTGTCATAGCCTGCGGCAGAAGCGAGCGAGGAGGCGAGCAAGTAAGCAAGCAGCCGGGAGCTGGCAACTACCGGTAAGAAACATAAGATGCACATGTCGGACCAAGGTGACGGGAAAAGGAGGCACCGGGAGAGGTGGCGATTGATGCTCGAGGCCGTTGACATGACGTGCCACGAGACCGTCCGGGAGCTCTCTCCAGGTTCCTAGTCGAACTCTAAACTCACACACACACACACACACCAACTCCAATACCTATGGTGGGGGGATGAGCCAGCTTCAAAGTATGGTGAGGTAAGCAGCCGAGAACCATGGCGGTCTTCGTGTCGTTGTCGAGCCTAGGACATGCAGGTAGGATATGTCATTCCCCCTTGCCACCCCCCGGGGATGCGCGCACGTACATGACACGCAGAGAGCAGTCACATCAGAAGAGCACTAAGCCAGAAACTCAGAAACCCAGAAACTCGTCCCATCGCGGTCAATCCCTCGCCGAAGCCAATATGAAGCAGAGTTTGAGATGAAGAGAGAGGAAATAAAGGGCTAGATGGGCTTGGCGGAAAGGCTGCACGATGAAGCCGGAAACGCGGATGACTCGGGGGAGAAGGGGGGGGGGGGGGGGGGGGTACGAGCAAATATCCCGAGGGCTTGCCATCTTGCCGAACTATGCCTTTTGATGGTCGAGGCAATCTTAACGAGAGGTCGACGACGAGAGAAGCAGCCACCCAAGGAGGGAACGGGGAGGGGTCAGAAGACAGGGTCAAGGGGGGACGAGTAAGGCGTCGACGGGGCCAGGTTCAGATGTGACGCTGTACGACGAGGGAAAAAGAAAAAGGAGAAGGGAAAAAAAAAAAAAAAAAAAAAAAAAGGGAAACAAGATCCGAAGATAAGGATGCCCTTCTCGGGGACCTTGTTCTTCGAGCCTTACCTACTTTCGCGTCGAACCCTACCCGGCACTCCGGCGCCGAAGCCTTGTCCGCCGCGGCTGCTACCTCCGTACGACGACGCACCTGATCTTTTTCGCCTGTTTCTGCGACCTGGGTTCTTTGCGGGGACCCACACGTCGACGCGGCGGATGACACGAGGCACCAGCCAGCAGGAGGTGCAAATCGGCTGTCATATCCGACCATGTGTAGCCGTATATGTTGTCTCTCTCTCTCTCTCGCACGCATCATGTCTTTTTTTCGATTGAGAATTTTTGGCCGCCGATACGGATACTTCGTCCAGCGTTGCGCTACTAGAAGACGGTTGCCCCCCCCCGCCCCCTTCATCTCATGCGCGACCCCGTTGACTTGAGGCGCACATCAGATACACTACGTCAGCCGCAAAGTTTGCTCCCCAGAGCGTGTCTCAGTCACGATCCGGCATCTCCGTCGATCAAGGGCCCTCTCTCTCTCTCTCTCTCTCTCTCTCTCTGCGTGTGTTTGCGCGTGTGTATGCCTCTCTGGAGGAGATGGACTTTGATGGGCCAAGAAGCAACGAGCATGACACAACACCCTCGCCTTTGGCCAACTGCCCCCCACCATCGTCGCCACCTGTCACCACGGGCTTCCCGTTCTCTCTTCTTGGCATGGGAGAAGGATGGCAGGCGGGCGCCGGTGGGCAGAAAAAAGTCGATCCACCTATATGTAACCATAAACGTGCTCAGGGCTGGCTGGGTGTGTCGGAGCCCAGAGACCGAGGAGAGCGAATACAGCGACACCTTCAGCCGTGAGCATCCGTACCCCCAAGTCCGAAGAATAGAAAAAAGGACAAAAAAAAAAAAAAAAAGGGATGCAGGCCCGCTGCAGGCCCATGCTCCCTCCCCACTGGGGGCGCATGTCTTCTGCCCCTGTCCTAGCTGGCGGCTTCTGGGGCTCACACACACACACACACGCTCTCTCTCTCTCTCTCTCTCTTTCCTTTCACTCTGAGCCCTGTATCAGCAGTGGCAGCTTTTGCTCCTCCCTTTCGCCGAGCCCCTGTCCCTGAGACGATGGCTTCTACTATTGATGGCGCCCTGCTGGCGGCCAGACAGGCAACGGATCTGGGCCCTCTACGCAGTAGTCACAATAGGAAATACTGGGATAGGCTCTCCGGCGCGTTGCGATCACTTCTTGTCTCGGTATGCTGCGCGCTCTGCCATATGGGCTGATGCAGTCGGAAGCGAACCGGGGGGGAGGGTTAGGGGTTTGAGGGTTTCTAGGACAAGACGTTCGAGAAACACAATGATGGTGATGATCGTGATCATGATCATGACAACAGCGACGATGGCGAGCCTTCTTTCCGGGTCCCCCCCCTGGTGTTTTGCCCATTTGTTGCTGCTCATACTCTCGCTCTTTCTCACTTTGATTTCCCTGCGCGCGGGTTTCTGGGCGGACAGCGTGGCACCGTACGATGGCCCATCCGATTCCCCTCTTTGACTCGGATGAAGGAGGATGAGGAGGAGCAGAAATAAAAGGATTGACAGAGTTTGAAAGTTAGCTGGTCGCTGACTCTTACCGGGTGCGATCTTTCCCGTATAGGGAGTATGCAAATCTCATTTAGAGTACCCCCTTTGGCCCCTTTGGGGCCTTTCTTAACGCGCCGGTGCTATCGAGCGAACGAGTGATGGAGAGAGAAAAAAAAAGGTTGCCTCGGCCCTGACCGTCCTTGATAGCTCGTCGAGCTTGACTTGAACTGGGTGATAGAGAAGTTGCGCTGTTGCTGCCGATGGGGGACGACGAGTGGTTGTGGAACCGACGGTGGACCAGCTACCTAGCTAGACTCTACTACTACACCATATCCTACATGGTGTTGAATGTCCTATAGGTAGTCCGAGGTACGTACCAAGCAGCCTGCTGTCTCAGTATTTGTAGAACGAGAGAGAGAGAGAACTTGGAGCTGGGGCCATGCTGGGTACGTACCCTTTCCTACCCTGCCTTTAATCCTCCTTACCCACCCTCCTTCTCTCTCTCTCCCTTTCGCTTTCCTCCCCTGACCCCTGAAAAGGTAGAGAGAGAGAGACACACAGAAAGGTAGAGGTAGAGACAGGCAGGGGTGAGGGGGGGGGGAGATAGACACCGCTACCAAGTAGTGTAGGTACACTACCTCTGAGAGACAGCGGGCTTGATGTACCTAACATTTGGCATGTTTCCCGCTGTCCCATCTTGCCCCCGTCGCCCACAGGTGGCACCCTTGCCGACTCATAGGGGCGGGGCTCTCGGTCTGGCTGGACTTGTCGGGCAACAACAGGCAAGACGAGACGCGACAAGGGAAACCACCTGCACTATCCGTACCTAGACCACCAACAGGGTACATACCAAAGCATTCTGTATACAGACAGACCTTACGTAGTAGCACCCATTTTCAAATGTCAAACAACCTACCTGCCTACCTACTTGACGGTCGTGTAGGCCAGGTACGTACCGCCCTACCTACCTGTTGTGGGGTTTCACGAATCCGCTCCGCCCTCCCCTTGCACTTACAACGCCTTCTGCTATGTATTGTTCCCGTACAACACGCCATTACGACGTTTTTTTTTGTGTCCCTATGGGGAAAGGTAGTGGCTTGAGTGGGCGGCGGATAGCGAAACGCACTGGCGATGGGTGTTCTGCTCTTTTCTTAGTGCCGTCTTGTTATTTTGTTTTTTTTTTCTTCACCTCCGGTCTGACGCAAGGCGATGCAAGGTGAGGTGAAGGAAGGTGAGCTGTCTATCGACATGGCCCCCTTTAACAGCTTGATGAGACACGCAACGCAGCTCGTCCTGTAAGGAGCTGGTTGCTGAGAAGACCGAGGGCAAAACGTACATGTCGTTTTATGCTTGCTTTTCCCCTCCCAATAGCGATAGCCATAGGACCAGAGCTCCCTAGAAATCGGTACGGGTGACGTTACTCGCCCGCCTTCTGTCACTTTTGCTCTCTCTCTCTCTCTGTCCCAGATTACTCATCGCCAACCCCCCCCCCCCCCCCCCCCCCCCCCTCCTGATGCTACGTGCGTCCCGTGTCCCCCCACCAATAATGACCAGAAAACTGCCACGGCCGGCTCTCGTTCGTTCGGCAGAGACATCGGTGACGGTCCGGTCGGATGACGGACTGGGGGTTAAAGAGAGGGGGAGAGAGAGGCGAAAGGCGGAGGCCGAACGATGCGAGATTGTCGGGTTATTTCCCCCAGGCAGTGGACTCGTTTCGGTGATGCAAACACCACCTTAATACTAGGAAGTATTACAAACAGCCATCACCTTAATACTACAAAGTATTAGTCGCCTCTCTCACTTATACCGTCGCCTCGCTTGCGGACCCCCTCCCCGGGCTTGTCTGTCCAGCGTTGGTTTTCCTGCCGTCTGCTACGTTGCTTCTGGATGGTGGTGGCCTAGTCCTTGACTGAAATCATAGGTAGTATAGTATTGGCCCTGTGCTTGCCGGCCGGCTTGCTTCCGGCCTCGCTGCCGTCTCTCTGCCGTTGTTACTGTTATTTGCTTCCCGCATGCGCGTGCCTCAGCAATGATAACTAACGCCTTAGCGGTGGGTGGGTGAACTCCTCACCCCGGTCGTCCTCTCCGGCTCGTCGTCGTCGTTGCAACAGTTAGTCAATCGTCCGCCGTCGACGTCGTCCCGTTGTCGTCGGCGGCAACAACACCAACAACACCAAACACGAAAAATCTCAAACAGACAAAGGGAAGGAAGAAGGGGCTAAACTAAACAGAGTCTTTCCCCTCGCACTCCGAAATCGCTCGCCCGCGCCTGCCCCAGCTGGGTCGGTCTAGGTACTTGCGCAACCAACGGTAACGGCAGCCGCAACCGCATCTAAATCACCACCCACCTCTTGCCCATCTATGGTACGGTACCAGAAAACTGTAACTGCACATCACATCACATCACATCGGGCAAGAAGGACCAACCTCTCTCCTCCCCCCCCTCTATCCTTCTCTCTTTCCCCCCTTCTAGGTATACAAATCACATCCCTGCCTTTTATTTTTTCCGGAACCCATCACACTCGTTTTTTGGTTCTCGTCGTCTCAACTGCTACTTGCATACACACCGGGGAAGGGGGTTTGTTTAACCCAATCCCAATTGACCCGACCTCTCTACCTATTCTCCTGCATCTTCACTGCTACACCTCGGCGAAGGGGGCATGCAGTCTGTCGTCACGGAACACACTCAGTTACGCCCGGCCGGGGAGCACCTTGGTCCCTCCACACCGACAATCACGTCCAGCCATCATCTCCGTCACCTTGCTTGACTGACTGTCTGTCGACGTCGGCCAACATCCCGTTGTCGTCTGTGTGCATCGCGTCTACACATACGCCACGCCACACCGCACCACACCGCACCTCACCACACACTCTCTCCTCTTTCCACACGATCATAAACCTTGTTGGAAATCTCGAGCCCGAAGCCTTGAAGCGGGAGCTTCCTCTCTCGGAGATCTCGGTCCCCTCGGCGGTTTTTTCCCACCCGCTGCGTCTATCTTCTCAACAAACCCATTCGTCCATTTCTGCGCTTGTCTCTCTCTCTCTCTCTCCGTGGGTGGGTGTGGGTGTTTGCGAGAGTGCGTGCAAGTAAGAGAGGTCCTCTTTTCTCTCTACCCCCATTATCCCGAAGGGCCGCACCCGATTTGTCCTTTCTCAGAAAAGCGGCGGCGTGCATCACACAACGAACGTACTCCACGACGTCGCAGCAGCAGCAGCAGCAGCAGCAGCAGCAGCAGCAGCAGCAGCACAACCAGCAGAAACGTCTTGGGAAAAAGAAAGCCTCCTCGCATCTCATCAAGACCGCTTCTCCTCACCTCACAGGCGCGCGTTCTCCCCAGCCGTCGCAATCAGCCCTGCACACAACCTTTCTTCCCCCGTCGCCGCCAGTACAGCTTGCTTGGTTTCTTCTTGCTTTTCTTGCTGACCTCCTCAATTGGCCTCGTCTTCCGTTTTTTTTTTTATCAGATCTCTATTCCTTATTGCAACGTGAAGCAAACTAATCATCCCCCCGTCCCCTCTTTTTCTCATACATACGGTTCCGTACTCGTTCCGTACGCCTGCCTGTCTGCTTGCTTGCTTCCTTCCACGAACGGGCGAGCCGCGAGACATTCCACCCCGAATAAGAGTGACAGGAACCAGAGGCCCTTGCTGTTACCCGGCGATTCCCTGAACGTCTCGTCATTTCCTCGCTCACTCTTCTCGACTCGTCACATTGGCACCTTGCTTCTTTCTACTGCTTGCCTCTTAGAGGTCTTGCTCCTACACCGTACTCTCTCATCATCCGGCTCGTTTCCCCGCTGCCCTCCTTAATCGACACAGTGCCCAGCATCCAGCTCGCCATCGGTCACGTACGCACGCACACACATACGGGGTGGGATATAGAGATATAGATTAGGCATTCCGTTCCCACTTGCAAAACCGTGCTTGTGCGCCTGCAGCTCATCTCTCAACTCAGTCCCCAATCGACTCCAAGTCCGGTTCGCCCAATACTAGGCCGCCAACCACGCTATATCAGACCCCATCCAACTCCATCGGCAACCAACCCTCTCGCTCGTTAATTCCGGCCAACCCAACCCAAAACATATAATATATATTTATATCGAGGCCATTCCGTTTCGAACGCCCGTCGACCTGACGCACAGAACGCCCACACTACCTGTACCCCCCGCCGCGGCGATCTCCCACGCCCGCAGGGCCGTCCACCATTTAGGCCTGGCGTGTATGGCCTCTGCCTTCTCGGTTGATCTAATCAATTTCTGTAGCAAAACCAGTCCTGCCAGCGCTCGAGCGTTTTCCACCCCCGGGGCCGAAGCCGAACAAGCACGACGACGGTTACGGTACATGCCAAAAGTCACTCATCCTCTTCCTTACCCTTGCCCTGTTCTCTCTCTCTCTCTCTCTCACTCTCTTCACTCACTCACTCACTCCCACACTCACCCCCCCCCCCCCCCCTTCCCAAGGTACCCTGGCCTTGCTGCCCGCACTCCTCTGCTCCTCTCTCTCTCTCTCTCTCTCTCTCTCTTCCTCTCCCCCTACCCGTCTGCACCACTGTAAATAAGAAAGGGCCCAATCTGTACTACCTCAGGTACCTCACTCCACGTCCCCACAGCTCCCCTGATCCCCTGTCTCCTAGTCCATTCCCTCCATCCAGGGCCCCCCCCCGGAAGGTTTAGCTGCCCGCTTTAGCAGAGCGAAAAAGCACCACTTCTTTCCCGATCCCATGCTTCTTGCTTGCCGATAATATACCTTCACCAGACGCCTCACGTCTTCCGCTCATAGATCAACGCCTCCACACGATAACCCATTGGACTGGCCCGCCGTCGTCTCCTCCCCTCCTCTCCCTGTAGTATAACATAACCCACACGACGCACACCACACACTTTAACCATCACTACACACACGCACACACACGCACACGCACACACACACACACACACACACACACACACACACGCATCTATCTGCACTTCATCTCAACTTCTTACCTTGTTTCGTTTCTTCAGCCAACATTTGCTGCTCGTGTTTGGGCTTGTCTTGTGCCGGGCATACCCTCTCTCTCCTGTGTCCGTTGCCCGTCCTTCGGATACCGCAGATTCCCACCACAACCATCGTCATCGCACATAAACCACACACTTTTAAAACAACAAGGCCAATTAAACAAGAGACGCCTGTTCTTCACCTGTTGGCTCTCGTCTCCACCACGCAAGACTTGTACTCCCACCAGTCTCGCGCACTAAGGTTTCTCCATCTTCGGCTCACCGTCGTCGACACTCGCAACATC